AGGAATTTCCCTGACTTTTAATGAGTGCCAAAAGTTAAAATCGGGTTGATTCATAAGGTTTGCAAGGGTAAAGCCATGTTCCAACCAACATCCACATCACCTAGTTCACTGCACTCTCACTGATAGCTCATCCAGTCTTCTATGCGACTTCATCTCCTTCTCCACGTCTATCAAGTCTCCTGCCTTCCCAAACTCTGAAGTGAAGCATAGTTCCATGACATGTTTCCGATACCTCGCCCCAGTCTATATCCCTCCCAGTCTCCTATTTTCCCCTGCTCCCCAAACTCTGCCTCTGCCCACCCTGGATTCTGGTTATATTGTAAACAATTTTAAACATTTATATGTATATACGCTGAACCAGTTCTTGTATCTGTTATTCCCTTCCCCCCCCCCACACACACACAAAAAAAAGGTAAGGTTTGTGATATTTCAAAAAATACTATTAACAGTCTGCTGTTTGTGTAGAATTCCATGAGCTGTGGAGATTTTTTATTGTGTTTCACTTTAATTACTAAACACTTCGTCTTGCTTACATTTGTTCTTAGCTGTTGTTTTTTCATAATGTTCATTCCAGCTTTCAGATAAGTAAGGCATGAGAATGTGAATTTTCTTCATACAGGAAGAAGTACTGCTGGAACAAATTTTGCTACTCTGAACTGTATTGCACTTTTGTCTTAGGAACATTTGATTGAGAGCCATAGATGCTGCATTTCAATAAGCTCACTGAATAGAAATAAATCTAACTTTTTTTTGTACATGTACAATTATATGTGTGTAACCAACATATATCGTATAGCAACATAGTATAGAATTGTGAATTTCATACAGTGAGTTTTATTTGCTGAAAAGTCTTTCCACAAGCGCAAAGAGCACTAGAAGGATTGATACTAGTACTGGAATGCATAAAGCAGTTGTGCTGTTTGAGCCAACAATATTTCCGTAATCTCGTTTGCTAGCCTGTGGAGCTTGCTGGTTGGACATGCTTTGTGCTCAGAGGGCAGATCAGCTGATGCATAGTTTTACCAAATGTTCATACTAGAGCTGGACAGAGAAACTTCAACTGAATTATATTCCATCAGAATGTTTAGTTCCTTTGAAATCAAAATGCTTCACAAAATCATGTCAGTTTAAGCATAATTTCATTTTGGAAAGTTGGGGAGGGGGAAATGTTTTGACATTTTTGGAACAAATTGTTTTTCATTTTGAAAAGTCTCTTTTTAAAAAAAAAACATTTTGGGTTTCTTCACAGAGACTTTTCACATTTTCTGGTTTAATTCTGTAACAGGATGAGCCGCCTCTCATGGTCAGTGGTGGATCTGTGGCAATCTGCCTCAGTTTTCCCTTTTGCTCAGGGCTTCTTAAATCACTAACTCCACTAGAGGCCCTCTTGTTACCATTAATTACCCCTCCTTGGGGGCTGAGTTTATTACCAAACAATTCAAACTGTCTTCAAAGTCTCAAAAGTTCATCTCTGGCATCTTCTGCCAGTCCTCAGGTTCCTCCTCTGTCCAAGCCACTTTTTATCAAGGAGCCACTCCATCCCTTCTAGCTAGAGTCCTTCTCTGCTTTTCACAGCAGGAAATCCCTGGTCTTCCTACCTGGAGTCCTTTCTTCCCCAGGAGAGAGTTCATCACTCTCCCAGTGCTGTCTATTCTCCCGCTTAGAGAGTTCAGCAGGCAATCCCACCCCATTCTTCCCCTGCCCCTCAGGCCCTCTAGCTTCTAAGCCCAAATCTTCCCTCCTGCTAACTGCAGTCTCTGCCACAGCTTCATCTTCCTATTTCCTGTTCCTTCTCTGGCTCTTTATAGAAACCAGCTATCCTCTATCAGGCACCATTGTGATGCTGTTAATGAGGCACAGGTGGGACATATCAGTTCCCCTTTAAAGGGCCCGGTCCACCCTGTGACACATGTCTCTAAAGAATGAAGCCAGTTTTCAAAATCTGAAAATCCTTTGTGAAATTGAGCTGCTGTCTTTTGCACAGCTCTAGATTGTGCTATTGAAACCACAGACAGATGAGAATGAGTTAAGTATTGCCAAAGTGAATTATGCTAAGACATACCATTGACAGTGCTCCACTTGAAAAACCATCTCCTGCAGCCCCTTGGGATCACTTAGTAGTATATTATGATACAGAGTATATTCAGATGTTCACCACTTAATTTGCAATAAAAATGACCTTGTATCCAACTGTGGGCATTTTATGGTAAAACTGGGAAATCAAATGTGATATTAATTAATTGTGAAACAAAGAATAATATCAACATACACAAAATTATCACCAACCAGCTGAGTATAAATTATGATCTGTCCTTGGGGTTTAGTGTAAATTGCATCTGGAAAATACCATATATCTTTAGATCTTGGCCTTATTTACAGTGATCCAACAATTATATTCGATCCAACAGTAGAAAACTGTATTGTTTTCTATTTCCTAATTTAATAATTTGTAATTATCTACATCTCTTAATGTATTGTTAAATCTCTAGTTCAATTACTTTTATACTAGGTATGGCATACAAGATTTCTGATTACAGGCATCATCTTCCTTCCCCTCTCATCTCACCATGTTATCCTCCTTCCGCGAATCCCTCACTCCCCTTTCTTCATCACATCAAGTTTAAACTTCTTGTCCTTCAGTTTCTAGACCCTTCCTCATTCTACTCCTCTTGTCTTTTATCTCATCACCCCACCATCCTCTTTGCTCTGCTGATGATGCCAGCCTTGGTGCCCCATTTTTCTGCTTCTCCCGCAACTATCTCCACAGTTCCTTCTACATCATTCTGTATACGTGGAGCACCCTGCCAGTGCTGGTCAGCAAAGCCACTGTCCTCGCCCCATACAAATTCATCCACAATACCTGCAACTGAAACCTCTCTTTATTTTTAAAAATCTTCCCTATCCCACCATGCTACCCACTAGCCCTGCTAGCTGAGTGACCATTTAGTCTTACTGGGACTTCCATAATTGCTAAAAGAAAATACACGTGCGCGCACACACACAAACAAACACACACACCTTTTTTAATACTGGTCTTTTATAAAGCGTTTTTATTATTTTAATATTTGTTTATGGTAGCACCAAAAGATCTGTTGTAACTCTGCTGTGCTAGATGCTTACAAACATAATAATAGGCATAGTCACTGTGCCACAGAGCTTACAACTGAAGGACTCATTGCTGTAATTAGATCTGTGTTGAATCCATACAGATCCTACTGTAATCAATGCGACTCTTCAGAGGAAGATCTGGATATAGTATCAGGACCTAAATTTCTCTTAAATAGTGGTTTGGGCTTATTTCAGGAGTGGTTGCAGACAATACAAAATTACTCAAGATAGTTAAGTCAAAGCTGGCTGTGAAGAGTTAAAAATGGCAATAAAATGGCAGATACAAGTCAGTATTGATAAATGCAAAGAAATGCACGCTGAAAAATAATCCCAACTATACATACAAAATAATGGGATCTAAATTAGCTGTTACCACTCAAGAAAAAGACCTTGGAGTCCCAACGGTTCTCTGAAAATATCAACTCAGTGTGCAGTGGCAGTCAAAAAGCTAACGGGAACCATTAGGAAAGAGAGAGAGAGTAAAACAGAAAATATAATGCCACTATATAAATCCATGGTATGCTCACATCTTGAATACTGTGTGTAATTCTGGTTGCCCCCTCTCAAAAAAAGATGTATTAGAATTGGAAAATGGCAACAAAAATGATTGAGTATAGAACAGCTTCCTTACAAGGAGAGATTAAAAAGACTAGGACTGTTCAAGCTTCAAAAAGAGACGACTAAGGGGAGGATATTATGTAGGTCTATAAAGTCATGAACGGTATGGAGGAAGTAAATAGGAAAGTTTATTTACCCCTTCACATAATACAAGAACTAGGGGTCAGCTGATGAAATTAATAGGCAGCAGGTTTCAAACAAACAAAAGGAAGTGCTTCTTCACACAGTGCAGTCAACCTGTGGAACACATTGCTATGATATGTTGTGAAGGCTAAAAGTAAAACTGGTTTCAAAAAAGAATTAAGTAAGTTAATGGAGGATAGGTTACATCAATGGCTATTAACCAAGATGGTCAGGACACAGACTGGGTGTCTGTAGGGTGTCTCAGAGTTGCAGCCGTGTTAGTCTGTATTCGCAAAAAGAACAGGAGTACTTGTGGCACCTTAGAGACTAACAAATGTATTTGAACATAAGCTTTCATGGGCTACAGCCCACTTCATTGAATGCATGCCAGGGTGTCTGTAAACCTCCAACTGCCAGAAGCTGGGACTAAACAACAAGGGATGGATGATTTGAAATTGCCCTGTTCTGTTAATTCCTTCTGAAGCATCTGGCACTGGCCACTGTCAGAGACAGGATACTGGGCTAAATGGACAATTGGTCTGACCTGGTACGGCTGTTCTTACATTCTTAATTTCTCATGGTTAAATCTCTGCAATTAAAGGCAGTGCGCCATTTAAGGAAGTGCTGGCACCCTGCCTTTTTGTGTTTGGCCAAAACAAATGCTAAGTGGGGAAAAATTCATTGTAAACATAGATTTCTGAGGTCAGGATTACACACTTACAAGCTCCAGATTCCAGATGCAGGTGAATCATTACAATATTGCTCATAAAATGACAATTGGCTGCTTTTACACTTCTGTAAATGTCAAGAGTTTGTTGTTGTGTTTTTAAAGGGAGGTCCTTCAGTGAGAGAAAGTGGATCAGAACTGAGGCAGAAAATGTATCATTGATCTGTGACATGTGCTTTATTTCCTTATGAATACAGAAATACACTAAGGCCAATATATTGTAAAGCGAGTAATTTAACACTTCTGGCTATGGTACTAGAAAAGAAAGTGGAATCATGGAATGAATGGCAGTCACACTGATCAGGGAAATATCTAAATGTCCTTGTCTTTGTTATTTAGTCTGACAGTCTTTTATGCTGTCACTTTCCACTTTTGTTTCCATCTGATGTTTTGTTGTTTTTGTGTCTGTTTATCCTTTCTTTAGCTCGTAAGCAGGAGATTATCAAGGTTACTGAGCAACTGATTGAAGCTATCAACAATGGGGACTTTGAAGCTTACACGTAAGTTGACTCATTTTACAAGAGACAAGATGAGATAAATGTATAAAAATGTTCATGCTTGTAGGCCTTGAGGAAACACAGAACCTGATTCACTGCTGTATTGCACAAGTCACACACTGGTATAACAGCAGATTTCAGTAGCGTTATATTAGGATAAACATGGAATAACACCATAGTGAATCAGACCCATTATCGCTACATAACATATGCAGTGATCTCTTTCATCAGGCAGAGAGGAGAGAATGTTCATGATTTAAAATCTAAGAATCAAGATCAGAATACACTGGAAAGCTATTTTAACAGAAACATTTCAGTATAAGCAGAGGTTCACTATCACCAGAATTCTATCTGTTGCACTGTAATACATTAATGCCACTTAGGACTTATGGCTCATTTACATGGAGAGCTAGTACATAGCAAGCCTGGGTGTGAATTTGCTGCACACTCACCTGCCATGCATGTAGACCCTGCTACCAAGCACTAAAAGTTATGTAATGCACTTTGACATACCCCCACCCTTCTCATTTCACATAGCAGCACATCGAAGTGCACTATGGAACTTCTATTTGTGGTAGTAGGGTCCACGTGGCCAGTTATGTCTCTGTGTTTACAAGCATTTCCATTCTACAATATTTCACTTAAAACTGTGTGTCACTGTGTAAGTGGAACTATTTTGTCTCCAGAATTGGTGGGGACAGATACTTTCCCCTGCAGTGTCACAAGACCACCCCATTCACTGCAACCCCCCAAAAGTTACAACATAAGATCCTCTCTCTCCACACTCCCTTAAAAAATAAAATAAAATAAAAAAGGCAAGACCCCGAGCACTTACTTTGGCCTTCTCCTGCCTCTCTCTGACTGCTTCCCATTGTGTGCTGCACCAGTCTTACTTTGCAAAAAGAACAGGAGTACTTGTGGCACCTTAGAGACTAACAAATGTATTTGAGCATAAGCTTTCATGGGCTACAGCCCACTTCATCGGATGCACTACTTCGGAAATTTTGTTCAGGACCCAAAAAAATTCTGCTTAAAGAACTCATTTTAGGTATTCCGTTTTTAAAATAACCTTATAGCCAGTTCTGTTGTTTCTTTACTCCAACCCATTAAAATGTATTTGGAACAAAAACAAATTATATTTTGTTTAAAGTTAAAGGTCTAGAGCTAAAGACACTATTTCAGCTCATGAAGAGCTAAAAGTTCTAGAATAGTTGAAATAGGGAATTAATACTCCTATGAGACAGTGACAAATTACCAGTAATGTACCTTTGCCTGGTATGAGCACTTTATATTCTTTGACTGTTACAAAAACTGTTGTACAAAAATGTCAAATGGAAGTTTGCTCAAAACGTTTCTGTTTTGCAGCATGGCAAAACTCAAGCCTTAGAAACATCTAACCAAAATTAAATTACCATTTAAACATTGGTAGCAACATTGGTTTTAGACTTAACATATCATGGGGGAGATTTTCAAAGGCACAAATAACAGCTGGATATCTAAGTCCTATGACTTCCAGTAGGATTTAGATGCCTAACTTCCATTTATGGCTTTGAAAATGTATCTTCTGGTCAAACACTGAAAGAAAATTTTAGGTGAAATGCTGACCCTATAGAAGTCAATGGCAAAAATCCCACTGATTTCATTGGGACCAAGATTTCATCCTTCATGCCTATATATGTTGTGTTTCATTCCAGCATGATGCAGTATATAATTTATGTTCCCTGTTGGAATGAAACATAGAAAAGCAAGGCAGACAGAAATGTTAATACCCATGTTTATCGATGGATCACTGAATTTCACATACATCATATTTCTGCTTTACAGGCTGATTTGTATGAGGTCATATGCCTTTGAGGTCAAGCATGCTCTGCAGTAGGGCAAACTGGATGGAGGATAAGGAACCTTTGTTCTGGGTTATCATGAAACAAATAGAATGCCGCCTCATTTAAATCTCAGAGTGGAAAGGCTGTTTTATTGTTTGTGTTAATTGTCAAAACAGTGGACATTACAATGGCAAATAGTATTCTTGTGGGAAAAGTCTCCAATTAGAAGTTTTCCATCATTCATGGGAAACAAGATCCATGGGAATAAATCAGATTTATGAACCCAGCTCTACTTGCCATAAGAGAGGAAAATCTGGAAAGGAAAAAAAAGCATGGCAGGAATGGGTGGCTCTTCTTTGAGTAGTGTCCCCATGGGTGCTCTACTTCAGGTGCATGTGCACCCTATGCACTTTTGATCAGGGGGAGGGATAGCTCAGTAGTTTGAGCATTGGCCTGCTAAACCCAAGGTTGTGAGTTCAATCCTTGAGGGGGCCACTTAGGGATCTGGGGCAAAAATCAGTACTTGGTCCTGCTAGTGAAGGCAGGGGGCTGGACTCAATGACCTTTTAGGGTCCCTTCCAGTTCTATGAGATAGGTATATCTCCATATATATCAGAGATTTTCATTAGCCGTGTCCATTCAGCCCACATATGCACTGCTCATATCCTCATGCCCTGCACCGAGTACGGGTGAACTGCCTCGGCTTGAGACTGAGTTTAGCATCTTTGCATTATGCGTGCCTCAACTGTTAGCCAATTTTATTCTACTTAGTTTAGTTAGTTAGGTTGTTAGCCAGTAACTAAATACTACTACTATTGAAAGATCATTTTATTTCCTCTGGGGAAATCCTCCTTGTGAGGGGCATGCCAAGTTCATCAGGGTTTAAACGTTGCCTCACATGTAGAGAGGCTGTATCACTCAGCAATGGACACTCTAACTGTTTGCTCGCTCCCTGGAAGAGTCGCACAATCCACAGAAGTGTAACTTGGTTTAGCCCTCAAATCCAAGGCTTGGAAGAACTGGGAAATCAAGCTGCAACTGTTAATGATGGATTGCTCTCTTCACTCTCCTTTGGAACCAGGTCAGGAGAACCTCACTGTACATCAGTTCCTGGGGGTCTCTTGTGCCCCTTCAACCTCAGCACAACAGTCATCTAGAAAGAGAAAGCCTGAATCCTCCTCTGAATATCCTAAGAGGAGTTCTAATTCTCCTCTTAAGGAACCCACCTCAAAGAGACCTCACTTTTTGACCAGGTAAACGGCCTCAGAGACTTGATCCTCAAAGCTTGGTATCGTTGAGGCAAAGGGCTTCTCCAGTACCAGTGAAGCGGGAAAGTTCCACAGCTTTAAGAGTAAACATAGCTCTGAGGAGTCTCCAGAGCCATCTAGCAGAGATGGTCAGAGCAAACACAGATTGGTACTGTCGGACTTAAACCCTCTCTTGGTACTCTTATCAAGCTCTTCGGTACCGTGTAAGACTAAGCCTCCATCTACATCAACAATGTCCGTGAAGCGCTCAAAACCATCGGTACCATTCTGTAGGGAGAAGCATACCACTCCAATGGTGCCATAACTCCACTCAGTGCTGTAACCACACTCTGTACCGCAAGACTTTAGGTACCCGAAGGACTTATCGGTGACTGCTAACCTGAGTCTCCATTGCTGGCAGGTACTGGGCATTTCTTGAGGTCAAGAACCTCTTGGTTTCCAGACCCTTTAGCGTCCCTTTCTTTTCAGTCACTGCTCCCCAATAAAGTAAGAAGATGGAGACCTCTTTTCAGTATTCTCAATCTCTGTTCACGGTTCCCCTACATACCCATATATAACTATTTTTCTCTAAGAGACAAGGAAGATGCCTGGAGAACTCGTCATTCCTGGTGGGAGCAATCCTGGATGCCATCCCCTCCCTCTTCTGGTTCTCAATGCCTATATTAGAATCCCTGAGCAGCTTATCACTGACAGTTCTTCTTCGAGTGATTGCTCCTGTGTATTCCATAGTAGGTGCGCGTGCTCGCCACGTGCACCGGTACCGGAAGCTTTTCCCTTAGCAACATCCGTAGTGGGGGAGCACCACTGCGACCCCTGGCGTGGCGCCGACATATCGCCCCATAAAGGGGGCTGCGTGCTCTCCCCATCCTCAGTTCCTTCTTGCCACCAGTGAAGGTAGTCGGAACTTTGTGCTCCAGCTTTGCTGCAGCATTTCTAGCCTTAGTGGTATCCAGCTTTCACTGAAGTTACTTGAACTTTTCTCTGTTAGTGCCTGGCTCAGGGCATGCCCCGTGGCCCAGGCTTCAAGTCATGTGACTCTTGTCGCAATTCTTTGCCCAGAAGCTATCCACACACTCAGTGTCTTCGCTGTCTGGGCGAGGCTCACATTAGTAAGAAGTGTAAAATTTGCCGCTCCTTCAAGCCGCGAACAAAGAAGGAGCGTGAGATCCGACTTCGAGCTCTCCTAATGGAGTCGGCATTGGCCCCGGCACCGGCGCGTCGAGCTGACCCCGCGCCGGGCACAGTGTCCTCGGCGCGCAGCGAAGCACCCCCGGCGCGCCGTCCTGATTCCGCGCCCAGTACCGCGTCGTCGGTGTGCAGTGAGGCCCCGTCGACGAGCCGGCACCGCTCCCCTTCTAAGAAGCAAGGGAAGACTCAGCAGCGCCGGGAGAGAGAACGGGGTGAGGCTAGACCCCGCTGGGCAGCCCACGATCCCCGTCGGGACCGAGACCTCTGACTCGGGTGGAGCGGAGTAGTCCGGTGCCGTCCACGCGCGCCTCCCCAGAGATGAGAGTGCCTTCGACGCCGGAGGCAGCTCAGGCCGTGTGCGACGACATGACGCTTCCGGTACCGGGAGCGCCGCTTCAGTTGGGCCCCCGATCCCATGGGAAGCCACCGCTCAGTGCCTATCAACCTTCTCCGGACGTCTCAGAGGTCGAGGCACCGTCCCGACTTGAAGGGCCGAGCCGCAGTCCACGGCGCGCCTCCACGCCGCGAGCAGGGTCGTCTGCGAGCGAGCTTTCCACCTCCACTCCGAGAGACCGTAGGGAGGCACTAAGAGGCAGCGCCGCTCTTCTTCGAGCCTTGCCCACAGGGACAGGTCTCGTCATCATCGGCACTGCCGTTCACGCTCCGGCACCCGCCGTGGAAGGCGCTATGCCCGGAGCTCGTCACGGGAGTCCCAGGCACCGAG